GGATTCTCGCGACGGCACGCGCGCAAGGGCGTGTGAACGATTTCGACACGCACGCGCGAAGCTCGTTTGGTAGTATTTTTTTTTAGAATCTGGAACAACCTATGGTTTCTCTCAGATTTCGCAAGGGCGCGCGCGTAAGCTTTTTTAGAACATGAGTGTTGTGAAACCTGTGTTTTCGTATGTTGTTTGGAAGCTCGGCTTTGTAATCTTTCCAAAGCCAAAGGGTTTTGAAGGATTTCGGCATGCTCGCGCGACGACGCGCGCGTGTGCACGCCATCCCGTTTTCTGCCAGGAATTGTTGAGAACTTATGATCTTTGATAAACGAGTGTGCGCGCATAGTATTTGTTGCAGAGGATAGCGGTGGGGGGGGCGATACCGGCCTGGCTGGGATAGTATGAATTCATATTTGGGGTGGGCGAGTGTGCAGGATCATATGTACATTGCAACGCGAAAAGGTGTACCGTTAACTCCGGGGGGGGGGTAGGGGGGGTAGAGTCTGTTCTTCTTGTCGAAAAGGAGGATCCAGGTGGTGCACCCTATGTTGTACACTCTGGGAAGCGACGGGGCGGCGACGGAGCGGCGACGGCGGGCCCGGAGCCGCCAGGCCGCCAGGCAGGCGCAGACGACGGGCGGCGACGGGGCGGCGACGCGGCGGCGACGGCGGGCACGGAACCGCCAGGCCGCCAGGCAGGCGCAGACGGCGGGCGGCGACGAGGCGGCGACGGGGCGGCGACGAGGCGGCGACGGCGAGCACGGAACCGCCAGACCGCCGAACAGGCCGAGACGACGGGCGGCGACGAAGCGGCGACGGCGCGGCGACGGCCAGCACGGAACCGCCAGACCGTTTGACAGGCCCAGGTCTTTGGAAAAGAAACAGGGCCCCCTTTCAGTGCAAACGCTGTTTGGGGAACAACTCATAAAAATTATGTTGACCACTGTGGGCCCCAACCATTGTTATTCTAACATTATACGGTGTACAACCTAGGTGGGCCAATCGATGTAGTGCAATGAACGGGGTGCAATACACGTTGTGCAATGTATGTTGTGCTGCCTATGTGTGCAATCTATGTTGTACAATCCGTGTGGAACAATCTATGTGGTGCCGCCTGCGTGGTGCAACGCATGTGGTGCAATCTAGGCGGTGCAACCTATGTTGGGCAGTGAAAGTGGTGCAAACTATCTGGTGCAATGTATGTGGTGCACTGCACGCGGTGCACCCGACGTGGTGCAATCTGTACGGTGCAGTATTGGTTGCGCAATGTAGGTTGTGCAACATGTGAGGAGCAGTCGTTGCGGTGCAAGCTAAGTAGTGCAATTCACGTTGTCTGTCGTGAAGCTGTCCTCTCCACTGCTCGTGCAAACATCCCACCCTCCCACCCGCAACTTGGTCGCAAGACCTCTTAAGACCGTGACGGCAGGTATCGCATAGCACTTGGCAACGACACCGACGCCGACGACGACGACGACGCCGACGACGAATACGGCGACACCGACGGCGACTCCGACGACTTCGACGACGAGGACAACGACGACGACGACGACGATATGGACGACGACGCCGACGCCGACGACGACGACGATGACGACGCCGACGACGACGACGACGACGCCGACGACGACGACGCCGACGACAACGACGACGACCCCGTCGACGACGACGACGACGGAGACGACGACGACGACGATGTCGCAAACGAAGACGACGACAACAAGGGAGGAGGGAGGACGACGACAGCGACAACGACGACCACGACGAGGGAGGAGGGAGGACGGCGACGACGCGAACGACGAAGAAGTGGGGAGGACGGCGACGCCGGCGACGACAACGACAAGGGAGGATGGAAGACGACGACGACGACGACGACAGCGACGACATAGGAGGGACGACGACGAGACGCCGACGACGGACGACGACGATGACGAGGGGGGGAGGACAGACGACCACGGCGACAACGACGACGGAAACGACGACGACGACAAAGAGGACGACGACGACGACGACGAGGAAAGACAGAGGACGACGACGGCGACGACGACGACGACGAGAGAGGAGGGAGGACGGCGACGACGACGACGCAAGAGCGCGCCCGCACGCTTTTGTTAAGAATCCGTGTTGCGAAACCCTTGTTTTTGTACGTTTTGTGGAAACTCGATCTTGAACTCTTTCCGACACCGAAGGTTTTTGAAGGATTTCGGCATGCGCGCGCGACGACGCGCGCGCGTGTTTTTTTTTGTTTTGTTTTTGTTGCAGAGGATTCTCGCGACGACACGCGCGCAAGGGCGTTCGAACGATTTCGACACGCGCGCGCTCGAAGCCCTTTTGGTAGTTTTTTTTGGGGGGGAAATATTGGAAACCTATGGTTTCTTTAAGATTTCGCAAGAGCACGTAAGTTTTTTTAGAAAATCCATGTTGCGAAACCCTGTGCTTTGGTATGTTGTTTGGATTCTCGATTTTGAAATCCTTCCGGAACCGACGGTTTTTGAAGGATTCCGGCATGCTGCGCGACGACGCGCGCGTGTGCATTTCGTCCCATTGTTTGGCAAGGGGGTCCAACAAACTTATGATTTTCGATAAACGAGTGTGCGCGCATATTATTTTCCGCAGAGGATGGCGGAGGGGGCGATAGCAGCCCCCTGGGATAGTGTAAATTCATATTCATGATGAACGATGGGGCAGAGTCAGATGTAAATTGCAATGCGAAAAGGGGAATCTTTAACCCGGGGGGGGAAGGGTGGTCAAATTTTTTTCTCTCGCAGTGAGTTGTCAACTCCACTGCCCGCGCAATCATCCCAACCACCCGCCCGCAACTTGGTTTTCAAAACGCATGCGTTGGCGATTGCGATGGGTGCTTGGCGTTGGCTGGTCCACCTCTTCGGCCGCGCAAACCCAAACACGCGCACGCAACGGCCAGCTAGCTTGGCGCGACCGACGCGGCCGCGGTGGCACTGACCGTTGGGCATATCCCAACGGGCACTTCAGTGAAAGTCGGCGACTTGGGTGGGCGCGGTATCATGGCAACGTCAACAGTGGCAGGGTGATCACGCCTATGACGATGATGGTGTCCACGTGTCGCCGATGAATGTTTTAGAGGGGTTTCGACATGCGCGCGCGGCGGGGATTGCCATGACTGCTTGCCGGTGGCTGGCGAGTCGATGCGGCCGCGATAGCGCGCAGGCTCGCTCGCAGAGCGGCCAGCTAGTCTGGCGCGACCGACGCGGCTGATATGGCGCTGCCCGCTGGGGACTTCCGTATTGCAGGCCGCTCTTACGCGCGGGCACTTCTGTGCGAGTTGGTGACTTAGGCTGGCGCGGCATCGTGGCGACGTTGACATGGGCCGACGCGGTGATGACAGTAGCGATGCCGGTGACGATGGCGAAACGACGGCGCGCGGCCAAGGGTAGCGCCAATGGTGATCGCGCCGGCGACGATGACGGCGTCCTCGCGTCGGTGATGAAGGTTTCGGAGAAAGTTCGGCATGCGCGCGCGGCCGACGCGCGAGAGTGGCCTGCATGATATTCTTTGACGCGGATCGTGCCCTCCATCGCGCGCAAGGGTGCGCGAACGATTTCGGCGTGCGGCGCCAGAGGTCCGTTTGGCAGAATTCCGTGGACATTTTGAACAACCGATGATTGTCTGAAGAACCCGCAAGAGCGCGAGCGCGCGCTTCTCTCTTGAAAAGTAATGCTGCGAAATCGTGTTTATATCTGTATTCATTTATTCATTTGTTATATATATATGTATATATATATATACACATATTTATACATTTACATACATACATATATATATATATATATATATATGTTTATACACACAATATATATATATATATATATATATATATATATATATATATGCACACTCGGTTTTGAAATCGCCACGAATGTGAAAGTTTTCGACAGATTTCGGCATCCGCGCGCGACGACGCGCGCGCGTACACTTCGTCCCGTTCTTTTGGCAAAGGGATCATCGCGACGGCACGCGCTCGAGGGCGTTCGAACGATTTCGACACGCGCGCGCGAAACCCGTTTGGTAACATGTTCTGAAAGTTTTAGAAGGCCGATGATTTTCTTCAGAAGTCGCAGGAGCGCGCGCGCAAGCTTTTTGAAACTCCGTGCTGCGAAGCCCTGTGCTTTTATAGGTTTTGTTGGACATTCGATTTTGACATCCTTGCGACACCGAAACTTGTCGAACAAAATCAGCACGCGCGCGCGACAGCGCGCGCGTGCGCACTTCGTCTCATCCTTCGCAGGGAATTATGGGAAACTAGCGATCTTTGACAAACGAATGTGTGTGCGAATAGTTTTTTTGCAGAGTTGGTGGGGGGATGTCGGCTAGGCTGGGATGGAGGGGGAGGAGGGGGATGATGATGATGATGATGATGATGATGATGATGATGATGATGATGATGATGATGATGATGATGATGACGATGATGATGATGATGATGATGATGATGACGATGACGATGACGATGACGATGGACGATGACTGATGATGATGATGATGATGATGATGATGACGATGATGATGATGATGATGATGATGATGATGACGACGATGACGATGACGATGATGATGATGATGATGATGGTGATGATGATGATGATGATGATGATGATGATGATGATGATGATGATGATGATGATGATGCCGCTGCTGCTGCTGCTGATGGTGATGACGATGATGATGATGATGAGGAGGAGGAGGTGGAGGAGGAGGAGGAGGAAGCGGAGGAGGAGAGGAGGAGGACGAGGAGGAGGAGGAGGAGGAGGAGGAGGAGGAGAAGGAGCGCGGAACGGGAGGAGGAGGAGGAGGAGGAGGAGGAGGAGGAGGAGGAGGAGGAGGACGAGGAGGAGGAGCCGGGGGAATAGGAAGGAGGAGGAGGAGGAGGAGGAGCGGGGAATAGGAATGAGAAGGAGGAGGGGAGGAGGAGGAGGAGGAGGAGGACGAGGAGGAGGAGGAGGAGGGAGGAGGAGGATTCGATGACCCTCTCAGGTACAGGGACGTTTGCAGCCGCCTGCTGGCCGAGCTCCGCATCGCCTGAGCGCCTCCCCCCCCCCTGGGCGTTGTTGCTGCTGCTCCTCCTCCTCTCCTGTTCCGCCTCCTTCTCTCCTCCTCCTGTTCCCTCCTCCTCCCTCCTCCTCCTCCTCCTCCCCTCTCCTCCTCTTCCTCCTCTCCTCCTCCTCCTCCTCCTCCTCCTCCTCTCCTCTCTCCTCCTCCTCCTCCTTTCCTCCTCCTCCTCCTCCTCCTCTCCTCCTCCTCCTCCTCCCCTCCTCCTCCCCTTCGCACTCTGGCTCCTCCTCCTGTCCCTCCCCCTCCTCCCGTTCTTTTTTTTGTTCTTCTTCTTCTTCTTGGTCTTCTCCTCCTCGTCCTCCTCTCCAACCTCCACTATCCTCCTCCTCCTGCTCCTCCTCCTCCTCCTCCTGCTTCTCCTCCCCCTCCTCCACTATCTTCCTGCTTCTCCTCCTCCTCCTCCTCCTCCTCCTCTTTCTCCTCCTTTTCCTCCTTTTCCTCCTTTTCCTCCAGTGTCCTCCTGCTCCTCCTCCTCCTCCTCCGCCTCCTCCACTATCCTCCTGCTTTTCCTCGTCGTCGTCCTCCTCCTCCTCCTCCTCCTCCTCCTCCTCTGGGCCCTCCCTGGGAACGTCGGGCATGAAATCGCACGAGTGGTCGACGAAGCGCACCTGTCGCATTCGTGATGTCTGTCGATGGGCGTGTCGTGCTCTGGTGCGATCGTGGGAGCTGGTGCAGGCTTACGTGTTGGGGTTGGTGCTGTGCTCGGTGCTTGTGTCGAAGCTGGCTTCAGTGATGTCGTGGGGGCTGGTTCTGGGGCTGCGGTGTTGGCGGTGCGGAGCTGGTCGCTGGTTTGCTGCTGGTATGGGTTCTCGATCGTCTCTGGAGTGGATGCTGGCGCCTGCGCTGGCGTCGATGCTAGAGTCGATGCTAGCGCTGGTGCGGATGTCGATGCGAGCGGGGGTGCTGGGTTCGATGCTGTCTTCGGTGTTACTGTCGATGCTGGCGCCAGTGCAGTGGTCAGCGCTGTAGCCGATGCTGGCGTCGGTGTAGGTTTGGCCGGTGACGTCGATGATGCCGTCGATGCTGGCGTCGAGGCTGGCGTCGGTGCTGGTCTTGATGCTGGGGTGGTTGGTGGTCCGTCGTGTTGGTCACGATGGCGCTGTTGGCTGTCTGCACGCTGGTCAGAGGGGGGGCGGTGCTGGCTGCTGTCATGCTGGTAGGGGTGGTACTGCTGGTTTCCGTAATGCTGGTGACGGTGGTGTCGCTGCTTTCCGTCATGCTCGTCGCTATAGTGCTTCTGGTCGCCGCCTTGTTCGTCATTGTAGTGTTGTTGGTCGTGGGCGTTGTGGTGCTGGTCGGATTCGTGTTCGTGGTGGTGGGTACGGTGGTGCTGCTGCTAAGCGTGGGGCTGCAGGTCCCTGCTAGTCGTGCTAGTCGCGCTGTTGTAGTCGTGGTGGGTCTGCTGGTCATGGTGGTCCTGCTGGTCGTGCTCACGTGGCTGGGACTGGTACTGGTGCTGGAGTAGTTGGTTGTTGTATTGGTCATGGGAGGCAAATGCCTGGACCCATGAGTTGCCCACGGGTATGCCGCGAGTGCGGGAGTAATCGCAGGCCTTGCTGGCGGCCTTCTTGGTGGCGTAGTATACGAAGCCGTCATCGAGGAAGCGATCGGAAGGTCCTAGCGCGACGTGACAGGCCCTTAGAGGGCCTAGCAGGTTGAAGGTAGATCGCAGGGCGTGATTGTCGATGTGGTGGAAAACCGGCCCACACACTCGGATGATGCACCGCTTTGCGTCAGGATGGGGTCCGAGACCAGACCGGCCCGCGTTGGTCGGAAAGGTGCCTGGCGGCTCGGTTGCAGGCGTCAACGTTGGTGGCGACGCCGTGCTGCGTGCTGGCATTGGTGCTGAAGACGATGCATGCGTAGGTGCTGGCACCGCCGCAGGCATCGATGCTGGCGTCGGTTCTGGTGGCTGTGCTGATATCGGTGCTGCTGTCGGCGATGCTGGAGTCGTTGCAGGCGTCGCGGTTGGCGTCGAGGCTGGAGTCATTGGCGGCGCCGGTTTTAACGTCGAAGCCGGCGTCGACGTGGTACGTCGGTCCAGCGTGGCCAGACTCGGGAGCCGCGGTCGAGGAACCGTTGGTGCTTCCGTCAATACTGGCGTTATTGCTATCGTCGTTGCAGGCGTCGATGCTGGCTTCGCTGACAGCGTCGTTGCTGGCAACGATGCTGGTTGTTGTCATGGTGTCTGTGCTGCCTGAGCTGGGATGGCTGCGGGCGTGGGCGTTGACGCCGATTGTGGAGGCCGCGCTGGCGCCAGTGCTGAGGTCGGTACTGGCGTCGCTGTTAGCGACGATGTCGGCGTCGAGGCTGGAGAGCGCGCTGGTATCAGTGCCGGCGTCGCCGTAGGCGTCGATGTTGGCGTTGATGCTGGAGGGTGCGGTATCGTCGGTGAGGGCCTCGATGCAGGCATGGATGCTGACGTCTTTGCAGGCGTCGTTGTTGGCGCCGGTGCTTGATGCTTTGCTGGGGTCGGTGATGACGTCGATTTCGGCTCCGGTGCTGGGAGCGCTGCTGGGGTCGATGCGGGCGTGGGTGCTGGCGTCAATGCTGGAGTCGATGCTGGCGTACGTGGTGACGTAGATGGTGGCTCCCGTGCTGCAGTCAATGCCGTCTTTGGTTCTGGCGCTGATGCTGAGGTTGATGCTGGCGATGCCGACGTCGATGCTGACGTGGGTGCTGGTTTCGATGCTGATGTGGGTGCTGGAGTCCGCGCGGGTATCGTTGCTGATTTGGACGGTGTTGATCCTGGTGCGGGCTGCGGTGCTGGCGTCGAGTCTGGCACTGGTGCTTGGGCCATCGCCGCCGCCGCTGCCGCCCCAGCCGCCGCCGCCGTCTCTGCCGTCGTCGACGCCGAGTCCAGCCCAGCCGCCCCCCCCAACCGCCGCCTCAGTCGCTGCCGACGCCGCTTGCCTTTGCGTCGCCGCCACACAATCCTCCTCCGCCGCCGTCACATCCTGGCTCTGCCTGTCGATGGTGGATGCTGTGCTTGTTGATGTTGGCGTGGGTGCGGGTTCCAGTGCTCCAGTCGATACTGTCCTCGATGCGCGCGTCGATGCTGGGGGTCGATGCTGGCGTCGGTGCTGGCGTCGATGCTGGCTTCGCTGCTGGCGTCAGTGCGGACTTCGATACCGGCTGTGCTGGAGTCGGGGCTGGTACTGGGGTCGGTGCTGGTGTCGATGCTGGCGTCGCTGCTGGCTTCGATGCTGGGGTCAGTGTTGGTGTCGCTGACGTGGAGTCTGGCGAAAATGCTGGAGTCGATGGTATCTTCGATACTGTAGTCGATGTTGGCGCCAGTGCTGTGAGTGATGCTTGGGTGAACATAGCCTTCGATGCTGGCGTCGATGGTGGCGCGAGCATTGGCCATGCTTTGTGCTGCGGTCCATCTCACGGGGGAGGTGCTGGTGTCGGTGTCGGTATTGACGTCGATGCTGTCGTGAAGGCTAGGTTGGATGCGGGGGTCGATGCGAGCGTAGGTGCTGGCGTCGATTCTGGCGTACGCGGTGGCGTAGATGCTGGCTCCCGTGCTGGAGTCGATGTCGTCTTCGGTGCTGGCGCAGATGCTGGGGTTGATGCTGGCGTCGGTGCTGGCGTCGATGGTGGGGGTGGTGCTGGTGTCGATGCTGACGCGGGAGCTGGAGTCCGTGCTGGGACCCTCGCCGTTGCCGCCGCCCCAGCCGCCGCCGCCGCCGCCGCCGCCGCCGTCTCTGCCCTCGACGACGCCGAGTCCAGCCCAGCCGCCCCCACAACCACCGTCCGAGCCGCTGCCGACGCCGCCTGCCCATGCGCCGCCGCCAGCCGATCGTCCTCCGCCGCCGTCACATTGACCCTGGCCTGTCGATGGTGGATGCTGTGCTTGTTGATGCTGGCGTGGGTGCGGGTTCCAGTGCTCCAGTCGATGCTGTTTTCGATGCCCGCGTCGATGCTGGGGGTCGATGCTGGCGTCGGTGCTGGCGTCAATGATGGCTTCGCTGCTGCCGTCAGTGCGGGCGCCGATACCGGCTGTGCTGGAATCGATGCTTGCTGTAGTACTGGGATCGGTGGTGGTGTTGATGCTGGCGTCGCTGCTGGCTTCGATGCGGGGGTCAGCGCTGGTGTCGCTGACGTGGAGTCTGGCTCAGATTCTGGGGTCGATGCTATCTTCGCTTCTGCAATCGATGTTGGCGCCAGTGCTGTTGGCGCTCCTGGCGGCGATGCTGACGTCGATGCTGGGGGTAGCGCTCGTGTCGGTGCTGGCGTCGATGCTGGTGCTGATACTGGGGTCCATGCTGTCCTCGATGCTGGTGCGGATGCTGGCGCCGATGCTGAGGCAAACGCTGTAGTTGATGCTGGCGTCGGTGTGGGTGTCAATGGTGGCGTTAATGCTGATGTCAATGCTGACGTCGATATTGTCGTAAGGGCTGTTTACGATGCGGGGGTCGATGTGGGCGTGGGTGCTGGGGTCGATGGATACAAGCGCGTCTCGATAAGAACTGGCGTTGGTGGTGGCCTGGATGCCGCCTCCGGTGCTGGAGCCGATGCCGTCTTCGGTGCTGGCGCTGATGCCGGGGTCGATGCTGGCGCTGGTGTGGGCGTCGACGGTGAAGGCGGTGCTGGTGTCGATGCTGATGTGGGTGCCGGAGTCCGTGCTGCTGTCGGTGCTGACGTGGATGCGTGGATATCGGTGCCGCCGCCGCCGCGTCTCGGAGGCGCTGCTGGCTGCGTCCTGTGGCGGCTCGCACGGCCTCAGCAGCTGCCCCCGTGAGGTCGCGGTCTGTCGGAAGGGCGACCCCTGGCCTGGGCCTCGTCGTGGGCGGGTTCTTGGCCCCGTCCTGGGCTGGTTCCTAGAGTTCCTCCTCCTCCTCCTCCTCCTCCTCCCCTCCTCCTCCTCCTCCTCCTCCTCCTCCTCCTCCTCCTCCTCCTCCCTCCTCCTCCTCCTTCTCCTCCTCCTCCTCCTCCTCCTCCTCCTCCTCCTCCTCCTCCTCCTCCTCCTCCTCCCTCCTCCCCCCCTCCGCAGACGTGCTCGCGTAGTGAAAAAACACGACGGGAGGTTTTTGACCGTTTTCGG